TTTTTTTTCTGCGCACAGCTCACACGCACAGCTCACACGCCGGGCCGGGCATCCGTGGAGGAAGACACTGCTGGCACTCATGCCTGCACCAGGCCTTCCGCCTCCGGATCCTCGCCCGCCTCCTCCTTAGAATCAGATCCCTCGCTGTCCGGCGATTCGCCACCTCCCCCAGCTCCTGGTTCTCCCTCTGCGGGCGGGCGATCTCACTTGCCTTCTGCTCGATCTCTCTGTAGAGCTTCTCGTTTTCCTTCAGCGCTTCAGAGAGCGCCTTCCGCCGCTGCTCCGCCACTTCCTTCCAATACTGAGAGGACGGGTTTTCTGCAGCCATGAGATCCAGTGCTTCCTGGGTAACTCCTCGGAGCTCCTGGCTCTCACTGTGCTCCAGGACAGCAGGGACTCCAGATCCGGAAGTCTTAGAGGCCGACTGATCACTGAGATGCTTCGGTTTGAACGAGCCTTTAACCAGCTCCTTCTCTCTGCCCACGAGGGGCCCAGCTGTGGACGGCTGGATCATCTTCAGGGTCCTCCTCAGGACAGGACTGCTCTGCACGCGCCCATGGGTGCCTTCCTGTTTCTGCTTCATATTGGGGTTCATTGTGGACCAGGACCCTGTGGAGTTAGGGAGGACCAATGCCAGCAGGCGGGCAGCCCCCATGTAGACCTCCTGCCACCTCCGCTCACTCTTTGGAGGGAACTGTTCGATCTTGGCCCTCCGCCCAGAACCCGGCCCGCTGCACGGTGGCTGACACGTGATGCTCCCACTTTTTACTTTTTATACTTATAATTTCTTATCACAAAAGTAATTTAAACTTATTCTAATGAATCTTAAACATTCCAGAGATATGTAACAGAAAATAAAAGCCCAGGGGTTCCCATAGGTGTGGACCGAGTCGGCAAAGAAGGAATTACACGGAGACAGTGTTCAGTTGATCATCATAGTGAGGTTCTCTAGCCAGGTTCTGTCTTTATTGTCCTGTTACATCTGTATTTATACCAGTTGATTTTAATCCTATCCATTCTATTCCAAAGGTTAGGGCGTTTGTTAATCTAGTTCTGTTGAGTTTAATCCTGTCTAGGTTAATCTCTGTGCTCCATTATAAGGGCTATTCCAAGGTCACTGCTCTACTGATAAGCTACAAGCAACTGACTGAAGGAGATTATCCTACCCAGTAAAGGTTATGTCCTCCCAGCCTCGATGCTTGCCTTCCCTGGGACTGCCCTGTGTCAGTGAGTCTCCAGGGGTATAGGCTTTGGTGCTTTCCCTGGTGGGCAGACCCCTGAGGATGTGGGCCCAACAAGTCCCAAATTTATTGAGAAATCCTCACCTGGGGAAACAACCTTTCTCAGGGAGGTGGTCCTGTTAAAAACACATAGCGCTAAGAGGGGGAGCAAACATATGCCATATACACCAGGTCCCTTGAAACATAAGCTGTGTAGATGTTTCTTCCCTGCAGAGACTGTGTCAAGCAGCAAGGGTGGACTGGCTTCCGGCAAATTCCCCCATTTTTATTTTTTAAATGACAGCACGTGTAAATGAGCAGCCACCTCTCGGATTGGGTTGTTTAAGACTCGGAAGAAGACTTGTTTGTGATTTTGCTAACAGGTCAGTTCGAGGCTTAACCCTATATCGGCTCCCCACATCAAGGTTACTACCGTTCAGGTGTTATGAATATTCCCCTGTTGTTGTTTTTTCTATCATGTATATTTACATAGTATACATTTAAAGTCATCCTGAATACCCAAATCTAAACCATTGATTTGGGCTTAATGTTGCTTTGCTCTTTCTTCATTGGACTCCTTTTCCCTTTGCCCAACAGTGCTTCAGAAATAATGTGAAGGCTTGAGAACACATCTAATGAATAAGATCCAGGGAGTTGAGTTTCTTCTCTCCTATTGGCCTCACAACAGGGCTACAAGTAGGCATTATTAACCCCATTCTTAGTGAAGAAGCTCAGAGATATTAAGGAACTTGTAACACAACTAGTGGGACATTTGGGCTTGCTTCACTAAAGTGCCTTGTGCACCATGGATCTTGGCTTGTCTTTTCTATATCATGGCAAAATGCAAAATGAATAGAATTGAACTGTAGACATTCAGAGTTAGTATTATGTTGTCCATTTGCATGAAATGTCTGAGTAAAGCTTGTTTTCACATTTATTGTCAACTAAGAATAGTGTTTAAGTTTAAATTCAAATGTCAACACTTTAGTTTAACTTAAAATCATCAAACAAAGGGAAAAAATAATGGACCAGTTTGGTGAGATAAAGGCAATACCTGGTACCAGCAGCATACAAGTACGTATATGTAATTGAAAACTTGTGCCATACTTGTATAAGATAAAATATTAAAAATTATCTTCAGAAAAGAACAAAACCTAAATTATATGCACTAAGAAAAGATCATACAGTCAATAATAAAGTGATTGGATTAAAAGGTTAAATGACACAAAGAGATTTATCTAGAGACCCAGGGTGTTGCAATTTCTCCTCCACTGGTAAAAGTTTTATTCCTGTCCTCTTAAAGGAACATTTACATTTATTAACAGTCTTATGTAAAAAAAATGTGAAAACCCTTATTTATAAATAAAAATAACTTAATTTTCTTCTGCATGTTTTAGAAATGCCATTAATGCCTGGGTATCTGTCTGTTAAGGTGAGAGCTAGTTTGATAAAAGACAGGATACCAGAGGCCATTACAGAAGAAAAATGGTGACACCTAAACCTTTAGAAACAGAAAGCTGTAGGAGGCCGCCTAATCATTTGTCTCACAAACAGAGCATATGTTCACATACTGGTGTCTTATAAACCTGAAGGCATCGACTGCATTTGTCACTAACTCCAACCCAATATTTGTTTTCAATCATTTCTAACCCAAGAGGCCTGGATGATACAAACCCAATTTAAAGGCTAACAAAATTGTCTTCCCCTCTCTGTATTGCAACGAGTTATGTGCCTCACATAAAGAGGAAGGCCTTTATTGTCTTTCTGATCTGGCAGCTTTTATTTTGTTTCAGCTTTTCAATAGTAGCCTGAAAACAGATGTACAAAAGATTTAGATGTGTTCATGATGCCCAGTTTGTAGAATCGATTTTTATTTCCCCCGTCTAACTTGGACTGTAGTAATTTTTATTTATATATTCATTTTTTGGTGCAAAAACAAAACACAAGTGGTTTGCCAGATGTGAAAATTAATATGTCTGAATTGGTAGTGGGATCCAAGCAGTAGCCCTTTCTGGGAAGTAACATGGCATGAGATCCGAGGCCTCAGCAAAACCCAGACTTGGGCAGTTTGCCTAGCTTCTCAGCGCCTCGTTTTTCTTTTCTCTAACATGAGGCTGCAACTACCTATCCCACAGTGCTGTTGTGAAGATTAAATCAAAGAATGTAGCACAAAATAATTGCATTATATATGTGAACTTTCTCCTCTGTGGATGCCGACTTGATTAGCTTCCACTTGACAAAAGTACAATGTTGACCTTTTCCTTTTCCTGAGTGGGACATGGAATAGAATCTCCTGGATCTTGGCCTGCCAGGTTTTTTGCTTGCTAAAATAAATTATAGAGATAGTTTGGCTCCATCTTGAAGATAGAGCACTAAGAAATTGGCTCCATCGCTGTCATTTTCTTCTCCATTCCTCTCATCTGTCACAGCACAGTAGTTATGAAAAATGAAACCATAAATTCAATTTAGAGGGCAATTTGCAGCTAATCTTTGGAGTAATTTCAGTGTGAATAATGCAGCAATTTGGATGCATGGTCAGTCAATTCAGTACTAATTTATTAGTATTTAAGAAATCTTTCTTTCATTAATGGTAATTACTAAACAAGAGAAAATAATTTCTTCAAGATTATCTACCTTCATATCAATGCTTTCAGTTCTGAAAAATGGCTACATTGTTTGTTAAAATTATGATGACAAATACAAGCTTTTGTGTTCTTATTTAAAGACACAAGATACGTTTAGATTTTGAGCAATAATTCTTTCCTGCTCTGTGTGAACAGCTCAGCCATAGCTTATGTCTAACTTTTTTTTCCCTGATATGACTCCCATTAGAGTTAATATTTTGAATATCTCAGCAGAAGGACCCTGGGATTTATTATTGATTTAGCACACTCCTTACACCTTGAAGGATGTATTACAATGTAGCTGCAAAAAGAGTGACATTTTTGTTCATGACTAAGAATTGAGTTTATCTGAACATTTTTCCTAGTTTTTAAAACTCTGTATTCTGACACATCCAATATACTGTAAGTCAGTGAACTTACAAGCATATGTTTAAATATAGTAACATCACTTTAAAATCTATAAAGAGCAGTCCTAAGAAAATATTTGTATTCATTTTCTGTATTTTATTCATGGGTTTTAACTATGATGTGTCACACTATAGAAAAATGTATTTCGAAACAAAACAGAATGCCTTCTCTTAAAACTTTTTGCATCATTCTAAAAAAGCACCTTATTAAAAAAATTATTTATTGATTTGAGAGAGAGAGAGAGAGAAACATTGATTTGTTGTTCCACTTATTTATACATTCACTAGTGGCCTGGTGCACGAAATTCTTACAGAGTGGTCTGTCCCTCAGCCTGGCCTGCGCCCTCTCACAATCCGGGACCCCTCAGGTAGGGTCCCTAGGCCTGGCTGGCAATCAGGGCCTACCAGGGCTTTCCTTCCCCTGGCTGCTGGCAGCTGGGCCTGCCCCGACAGCTGCCACTGCTTGCCATCTGTGTGGTGCTGCCCCACCCCCCCACCATTGGTCGCCTCCCTCTGTGGGCGACAGGCATGGGATGCGATCACTTGGCTGGCCTGGGCCTCCCTCTGTGGGGCGATCGCTGGCCAGCCCCACTCACCCACCACAGCACCACTGGCCAGGTAGCCTAGGCCTCCCTCTTTGGGGCGATCGATCACGGAGACCCCCATCGATTGACCTGCAGAGGGTGGCCTGGGCCTCCCTCTGCAGGGTGATCGTGGGGCGATGGCAGGGCCTCCTGACCAATTGCATTGCACCTGCCTTGGCTGGCGCCAGTGTGTGTCATAGAAGAAGGTCGGTCGTCCGGAAGGTCGTCCAGATGGTTGTTCTGCTGTTTAGTCGTTCAATCAATTTGCATATTACGCTTTTATTATTATAGATTGATTGATTCTTGTATATGCCCTGACCAGGGAAGAAACCCCAAACCTTGGGGTATCCAGAGAACACTCTAACTCAAGCATGTCAAACTCAAAGGCTTACATGGGCCAAAAAAAAGGTTTAAGTTTATGTGGGCTGCAAAAAAACAAAAGCTTCAATTTTCATAGAAACGTAGGTTTATTTCGATAGAGACATGCTGAATACAAAGGGCTGAACTAAATGAGTAATCATTTTAATAAAAATTAATATTTTTTCTTGAACATTAACTTACCAGGCACTGAATAACTTCACAAATTAATAAGCATAACACAAATAAACCTATTTTTTGCTCTCCAAAAGCAAGATATTTCCTGTTGCTCATACCACCAAACAAGGTACAAGATTAATGATATAGCAATTGGCTGCTATAATATTTGCTGCTAGTATTAGTGGAGAGAAATGGTGCACCTGTGTGGTGTGCACATAAAGGAAATGAATGCAACATGATTAAAGTAATCAGTCATTAGTGAATGTTGTAGTTCATTATTAATAATCTATATATATAAAAGCCTAAGCAACCACCACAACCGAACGGACGACCGAACAGGCTGCGTGGGGCAACCAGGCTG